TTTCCAATAGTCTTTGGGGGTTGATACCCACAGGTTGAGAACCACTTGGTTAGGCAGAAAAGACCTTTCCTAGATTCACTTAAATCTAACTAGAGAAAAACCTGTGTCCATGAGCAACAATGTTCCAGGCTAAGGGGACAGCAGACACAATGGCCCCCAAACATTCATCCCAAACTCTGTGAACACAAATTTGATCAAACATTCCCAGGCTCTACCAGCAAAATGCCTGACTATTGGTGTGTGTGTGTGTGTGTATGTATGTATGTGTGTATGTATATGTATATATATATATATATGTATACACACACACATATATATACACACACAGAGATCTACCTGACTTTACTTTCCAAGTGCTAGTATTAAAGGCATGCGTCACCACTGCCTGGCCATTGGTCTATATTTTATGAGATTTTGATTAATATACCCATGGACCACAGAAAATGGGTTCAAAGCAGTGGCAGGTAAAACTGTGTGTACCCTACAACATTTGAAGGAAATGCCCTTGGCCTCCTTCTTCCTGCCTTCTTGAGCTACACACTGCACAGGAGGTGCAGGCTCCACGAGGAAGAGGGTCTTGCTTGCCATTTTCAGTGGGAGTGGGTGACCCCGTTAGAGAGTAACGGATCTGTGACAGCCACTTGTAGGATGTGAAATGACCAGTGTTCCAAATTTTCAGATTAGAAACCTGAGGTGCAGGATCACGTGACTACCATGACTACCGACAGAGGTCCCATCTGGATTCCAGGCCACTCTGATCTACATATTGGCCTCTGCACTTCCTGCTGGGATGGGAGGGGGCAGTGACTGCAGCTCTGATCTGACCACAGGCACAGTGGGATTAGTCAGAACCCTGATCTAGGTTTCTCTCCCTTGTGACTCCCTTGGTCAGGTCCTACTGCAGGTCCTGCATCCCAGGGTCATCCAACCATCACTCCATCTGTACCTCCACTGTCACCTCATCCTAATGGGAGGTCCAGGTGGCCTTTGGGTTTTGCCTTTCTCCCTCGGGTATTGTTGTCCTTTCTGACCCCCTTCTCTATGCAGGGCAAATAGGAGGTGCTGGTGTCCAGTGCAGAGAGGCTCAGTTCTAGGCTCACAACCAATGTCTGATAATACATGGCTTTTTGTTTTGTTTTCTTTGTTTGTTTGTTTTTAAGGCCATGGACCCTGTGCCCAGAGAGAGCATGGACTGATGCTCTAGGGAGAATGGAAGGCACCCAACACCTTCGGAGCTAGGGGGAAACAGGAGGGGACTTGACAGCTTGCGTACATCCTCCAAGGTGCTGGGCACTGTAGTGAATTTGCTGTGTTCAGACGCTGCTGACTGGGGCCAGGACAAGCACTATGTCCATTCTCAGGCATGGCTTTAAAATTATTTGCTTATTTTGTGCGTGAGCAGAGCTCAGAGGAGAGCTGGCAGGGGTGTGCAGTGGGCTCTGCTCTGTTCTTCCACCAAGCATGACACCAAATGCCTGTGCTCGCAAGGGAATTTTCTCTGTCCTGGACAGTACTTAGGGACAAAAGGGTGTGTGTAGAGGACTCCTGAAAAATGTGTCATTAGTCTGGGAAGCAGTTCCATGGCCCCTCCATCTGCATGTCAAACATGCAGTTTTTCCACCCCACGCCACTGCCAAGCTTGTGATAAAGTTGGCTTGTGTGCACACACATGCTTTTTTCCCCTGCCCTGGAAAACCTCAGATATTCCAGATTTGTCAGCAGCCTTTATCCCTCAACCAAAGGGGAGGCTGTCAGCCACAAGCACTTATACTCCAGGGCTAGGCCAGCTCGCGGGCTTGGCATGGTGGCTGCAAGCCTCAGCCTGGGGTTAGGACAGATTAACAGGCACAGTGACTTGGGTGACATCATGGGTTGTCCCCACCCCACCTCAGCGCCCCCTCTACCCACTACCGGCTCCTTCCTCTGTTTCTGCTCCCCTCAGTGTGTCCCCCTTTCTCTGCCACTCCCACATTCCTCTTCATCTCCCCCCTCCTTTTTTCCCTTCTTTCTCTTTCCTTCCCTCCCTCCCATCTCTCCTGCTTCCTCCCTCCCTCTCTCTGGTGAGGGAAGTATGTTAAACGAAGGCTTTAAATGGCAGCTATTTTGAGTGGTCAGCCTAGGAACATAAAGTACCTTTGGATCATCCTGGCCCATACCATAACCTCTCCCACTAGGGCTGCTCACCATGGTGGTTTGAGTGAGAATTGCCCCCAGACTCATAGGTTAACTGTGAGTGATTAGGGGGTGTGGCCTAGCTAGAGGAGGTGTGGCCATGTTAGAGTGGGCATGACCTTGTTAGAGGAAGAGTGTCATGGGGGTTGGCTTGGAGATCTCAAAAGCCCACACCAGCCCCATCCGCCACCCCACCTGGGGATCAGGATGCAAAGTTCTCTTGACTGCTCAGCACCATGCTCCCGGCCAAGATGAGCATGGACTAACGCCCTGAAACTGTAAGTGAGCTCTCGAATTAAAAGCTTTCCTTTAAGAATTGCCGTGGTCATGGTGTCTCATCACAGCCTGGTGGCATAGCTTCAGTCTCATCTAGGCTATCCAGACTCCATCTCAAAACAAACAACAAAACGCTGAATTTTGAAACAGGAAGGAAACTGCTGAAGTATCTTTCCAAGCCACTCGGCGCAGCCTTCATTAGCGCACCTGTGCTGACGAGAAGCGCTGCCGTGGGAAAGCAAAAGGCAGATGCTGAGGGAGGGAGGCCAGGCCATCGAGGAGGTCCATCCTGCCTTAGACCGGCTCTCCTAGATCCATCTGTCCTGGAGAAGCAGGACGAGGTGTCCAGTCCAGGGGCCATCCCCAGGTCATCACAAACCCTGCCTCACCAAGGAAGCACACCAGCAATGCGGATTCCTGGTCACACCCTTCCCCACCACCACTTGGATCCAGACGCTGGGTGGGGCCCAGAAACCAGGCTCCAAGAGCAAACTGTGGAGTCTAAAGGCCTTCTACCCAGCCCTACAGCACCAAGGCATGGAAGGAAGCTCCAGTTCCTCCCCCTGCCCAGAGCTGCCTGTACGCTGGCCTGAGGAACCAAGACTGCCCTGCACTCTTCCAATTAGTACCGTAACTTGGGCTGGTCCATTCTCAGAGGAGGAAAGATACATCCAAATGGAATAGGGCCTCTTTCCAGATGTCTGCAAAGATCTGAGCCCCTCACTCAACCTTAGCCCTGTGGCCACTGCACCTCTGCTTCCTGTCATAGGGACCTCAGAGGCAGTGAGGTAGGACCTGAGGAGGGAGTCCAGACATAACAGCACTTCACGGAAATCTCTACCATGGCTGTTTCTGCCATGGCTTTTCACCCTCCACACTGGCACTGAAGAATGCTAACTTTTAATACCAGTTGGACTTGACTTAAAACCTGTCTGGTTCCTTAGAACAAAGCCCATGTCCCAGGCCTGACCTTTGGGGCTGGCTCCTCCCTTTCCAAACTTCCTACTTCAGCCTTAGGAACGCGGCAACAGGCAACACGTACCTGTGTTTTTGCTTGGCACATTCCAAGTCTCTCACTCGCTCACTAAGATTCCACTTTGGGTCACCTGCTCCCAAGTGACACGCCCCCAGCCTGCAAGAAGGGTAACTCCTGCTACACCTGAGCTGTGCATTCCAATCACAACACCTACTGAGGGACAATGAGATTCTGTCATATGCCTGTTGTCCCCCAGAGCCTACCCCTCAGTGCCAGCCACAGTGTCCTTGTCACCCTGGTGGCTCCAGTACCCGGCAAGAACTTGGCATTCCTGCTCCCCACCTGATGGACTGAATGGATTCTTTCCATACTAAGGAATTGATGTGAGGAACAGAGGGAGAAGTTGGGGTCTTCAGACATCTGAGGGTCTTATAGATGCCTCTGGTCATGGGTTGTAGCCACTTACACTCTTCCAAAATGGGCCTAGAAATCACATCAGCAGCCTGGCCATCATGGCCAACTGAAGCCTTGGAGGAAGTTCCCTGGCTTGTGGGCATGCTCAGATCAGATGCTGGGTTGGTACCTCCCAAACATCTGCATTTGGCCCTCAGGGATCCCCTGGCTCTTTTGCTGCACTCCACCAAACACGTGGGGTCTAGCTTCAGGGAAAAACCCCTTGTGGGACTTCCCTGTCGGGGCACTGGGGAGCAGAAGCTGGCCTGAATTCACCCCAGAGAGCATGCTAGAAGTGGCTTGGTGCTGGGGCCGTCAGGGCAGCATCTACCCCTCAAGGCCATAGAACTTGAGTCCACAGGCTTAAGGCTCAGAGGACATACATGAAGAACAGATGTGATCTAAGTAGTTAGGCTCTGGCTTCTCTCCCTGGGTGGTTCTTTCTATAGACATCACATCTAGGACTCGGCCTCCCCCACTTCTGGCCCTGCTGGGACATTGGGGGAAGACCCTTCACAGACAGGGAGATGTTCATTGAGACAGGATCATCTGGGGCCAATCGCTGTGCTGGCTTCATGTTTTGGAGCACACGGTGGGGCTTCCCGTGTACCTGCCTCTCCTTGCCCTACTGGCTAAAGGGAAGCTGGACAGGAAAGCCTACGTTTGCACAAACTGAAGTGTTTTACCCGGGCATCTCTAGCTTCTAAGCTAAATAAAGGAAAGCCCTACGGTGGCCCTCAAACATTTTAGATACAGCGTGGATTGTGAACAGTGATGAGGACTCAGGGAAACAGCAGGTGCTTAGATGGTAGGCACCTTAGATGGGAGCAGAAGGAAAGCCAAACTTTCTCATCCAGGTCCAGGTTCCCTATGCAGGCCTCTAAATGACAGGGCAGGAAATGGAGATCTCTTAGGGAGACGCCATCTTTCCTGAGTTTGTCCCTAAAGCCAGAACCCACCGAAGGAAAGGCAGGACTGGGAAATGAGCTTTCTGTTCCATTTCCCAATGCGTCTCTGGAGAGGTTCCCACCCAGACCTCAGGGTTTCCCACCCCTTCTGGGTCGGGTATGATAGCTGCAGGGGAAACAGAGGAGGTGGCGCATTTATTCCGCTTCCGAAGGTGTAGGCCTGCTGTCTCCTCCGGACTCTGGGTTCCCACATCTGTCCAGATGGCGTGGCTACCTGCTGATACTGACCAGCTGTTTCTCAGAACCACAGGGTGCCTCAGGGAGGGAAGGCAAAAGGAAGCTCCTCAAAGTACCAGCAGCTGGCTTCGACCACCCCCCTTCTGAAATGCAGGTTCATCCAGACAAAGCACAAAGGGGCAGTTTGTGAGTTGCCTGTGGCCAGGGATGGGGGCACTCAGGAAATAGCAGGCTGTGTGCAAGGCGAAGTCCTCTGCTCCAGCACCCTGGAGAAGCCCCGAGAGAGGCCGCTGGTCACTGGGAAGTGCAAAGTGGTGGGAACACTCAGCCTTCTCTTCCCAAGGCCCTCCTAAGTTCAGCCCTCCAGGTCCGCGTGAGGAGGAAGAGTCTTGGTGCCAGGATGAATCAACAGTGGCTGCATGCTCTCTGATGGATACTGTCCAGGATAGCTAGGAGGCCCTGTCCCAGCTGTCCACGAGGACAGGCTGTCAAAGTAATGCTCGTCTGTTGGCCAGTGGCCAAGAGGGAGGTAGGCTGGTGAGACCGGAACTTGCCCTGAATTTGGTCTCACGGTGCAGAGGTACAGTATGAATGACGCTAATGCTTCCAAGTATCTTGTGCACCCCAGGGAGCTCAGACATCGGGTGCGGATGGAACTCTATGTAACCTGTAAGAAAAGGCACAGGTCAGCTTGGCCCATTTGCTGAAGAAGCCCGCAGGTGGATGATAACGCAGGGCCATCAATGATCAGGAACACTTAGCCATCAGGTCCTCAGTTCTTCCCTGGCAGTGTCCTTGTCTCCAAATACCGCCTTCTAGTTTTTATCTGTGCATGTTGGAATCATCTGGAAAAAGCTTAAAAGGCTCCTAGTCCAGGCCTCGCTCAGCGTCTCTGGAGAAATCCCCAGGTCCTTGCACTATTAGAAGCACCCTTGCTCCGATGGGAAGGCACGGAGGCCAGCAAGGGGTTCAGATTTGCTCACTGGTCTCTTTGGCTGCAGGTCTAAATGAGGAAGTGCAAAGTCACCAAACACAGTTCGGAGATATCTGTAAATAGACTACAAATCACCCCAAGAAAGATTTACGCCGGCACTAAAGATTAGAACTTCCTGCTCAAGAGGATGGAAATTGTGTGTGGGGGGGGGGCGGAGTTTCCTCCAGCTGGGACAGAACTGTGAGCGGATGCCTCCCCCACCTGGGAACCCTCCAAATCTCCAAGGACCAGCCACAGGCTCTGCTCCCAGTTGCCCTACCTCCTGACCTCCATTCTAGTAGCGCAATGTGGTGGTCTGAATGAGAATGGCCCCTCGAGGCTCATAGGTTTGAATGCTTGGTCCCCAGTGGGTGGAACTATTTGATTATTAGGAAATATGGCTTTGTTGGAGGAAGTGTGTCACTGGGGGTGGGCTTTGAGGTTTCAAAAGCCCATGACAAGCCGGGTGTAGCACTCGGGCGGCAGAGGCAGGTAGATCTCTGTGAGTTTGAGGCCAACTGGGCCTACATAAAAGCAAGTTCCGGGACAGTGAGGACTACAGAGAGGCCCTGTCTCAAACAAAAACAAACACGATGCTTTCTAAAATGGGACTGCTCCAGAGCAGACCTTCTGCTCCGTAAATGTGCTCCTGAGTTATTCGAGCAGTTGGCAGTCCTGCTCTGTATGTCCATCCCCACATTTGCTTTTGTGACTTTTACTGGTGTATGGACTCCCAAAGTCTGAGCATTGCTGCTGGTCCCCACCCATCCAGGAGGGGGCGCTCTCTAGAGATGTGCCAGTGTCTCCAGGCAGCCTGGGCACGGTGAGAGCAGGTGGGAAAGATGGAGCTCATTGGGCAGGAGACATCGACTTTGGGCAAAAATGCCAGTCTGTCTGTGCTGCGGTTTCAGCGTGAGATACATTGCGGCATCCACTCCAAGGACCCCTGGAAGGCTCTTTAGGCATGTAAAGAAGACCATGTAAATATTGCCCACATTCAGTGTAGAACTTGCCCCAGACACAAATCCACTTGGCTCCAAGCCTCACTCTGATGTACTGACGTACTTCAAAGCCTATACCTCCTCAAGATGGCACCCCACTTGTGGATGAGGCCTTACACTCATGTGGTTGTTCAGAGAATTAGCAAGTGCCTTGGATCCTGCATGGGGTACACAGGGGCTCTGCCCCCCCAGTGCCCTGGCAGCAGGGAAGATACAGCCTTTCCCAGACGTGGGAGATGCTCACCGTTCGATGAGACGGTTGTTGTCCTGGAGATCAAAGGCCAACATCTTCATATCATTACAAAGCTCCTGCATGCTGTCCAAGGAAGAAGAAAGGGGTGGCTGAGGCTGGGTCACTTGGGGCCAGAGCCCTCTCGCAGAGGCCATGGAGCAGCCTCTTGGTCTGGTCTGGGGCGTGAGATGAAGCGCCTCTTCCCCCCAGCTCCCCAGCACTTACTGGAAGACCAGGTCCTTTGAATCAGGGCTGGGATGAAGAGCCGTGGGGCGTGGTGAGATCTCAGCTCCTGATGCTCTGTCCAGAAGGAGCTGATCAAAGATCTGAAGGGAAGCCATGCATTTGTCAGGGAGGTCCTGTCAGCCCACGTTTGACTGGGCAGGGATGTGCCGGGGAAGGGTAACACATCTGCCCCCACACGGTCTCCCGAGAGCCCCTGGACTTCTCCAGTCTTTTCAACATGTCGCTCCTTCCCATCCTGGGAGTGTCCCCACTGGTGGAACTGCTTTCCCTCATCTGTACTGGACCGAATGATTCAGTCTGCCAAGTTCCCCTTTGGCTCTAACCTAACCCCTCATGACACAATCTGAGCCACGGTTTGGGATAGAGGCCAATCCTGGCCGGTCTCTGAGGTTGCCCACATCACATGCTGGGAGCCACGTGTTACTGTCTCCTAGAAGGGCCTGTTCTGTATTCTCTGTGGCCAGCCAGCCTGCTGCCTTGGCAGAAAGTGACTCACCAAGGAGAGCTTGCACAACCCCTCAGGACCTCCAGGCTGCACCAACCTGGAGGAAGCTGTCTTAGCAGTCAGAGCCCTGGCTCGCAGTGATGGTCAGTCTGAAATCACTAGGAATGTTCCCATCTCAGGGCGCATTGAGGTCAGAGACCTCCAACCCTCATGGGCATCCCTGAGTTGGTCAAGGCTGCTCTGTCCCCTGGCAGGAAGTGATGCAAATGCCCCTCCCCTCAGCAGCCCCTAGTACTCCCAAAGCACACACACACCTTGCTCAGGCTCTCTTGGGCTTCCCGGGCTTCTGTGTTACAGGCAGCCACAGAGCGGCCAAGGAGGTGAAGGTGGTTCTGGGCCTTCTGCACCTGCCTTAAGAGAAGTAGAGGGGGTTAGAGCAGGAAGCAGAGGTTAGAAGTAGAGGGGGTTAGTGCAGTCTCCACTGCTGGGACTCTCTGGCTGGTGTCAGCTCAGCAGGGGGTCCTAAGCCTCGTGCTCCCTCTATGGGAATGTCGCTCTCTCTCACCTGTCCTGCTGCACACAGTTGCTCCTGGGAACTGAGAGAATCCAGGAGAGCTGGGGCAGGGATCAGTAACAACACCCATGTAGGATGCTGACGTAGCTGGGTCTCTCAAGTGGGTTTGGCAAGCAGAGAGCCAGGTAAGCATGAGACACAGGCTAGCAGGCTTACGTGAGGAATGGTCATGCTTCCGTTTCCATAACAAAGGAAGGGCCAAAACTTGGGACTCCTGGTCTCTAGTCAGAGGATATGGAGGGACATTTCTCCACTGCACAGAGGAACTCAAGTCCCAAGTCCATTAAATTAACAGTTGGCTCTCAGTTCTGAATATACATCAGGATCATCAAGAATAGCCTTTAGACTGATACCCAAGGCCCGCCTGGGCCCATCACATCAGTGTGTTGGGGGCTGCCAGGCGTTGTATTCTAACGTGAGGGTAAGAGGAACTCAGCCCCATGACAAGGCCACTGGCCACACAGCACACAGAAAACTGTCCTTTCTTCTCAGGGACCCCAGGAAAGTGCAGCAGGGGACCATGGGGACTTGAGAAGGGGGTTCAGAATAGTGTGAGGGAGGGTATGTTAGTGGGTGAAGCCTGACCCTGCTTCCCTGCCAGTTTGAAGTCTACCTGTTTCTCCTCCTCCCTAGAGAGGAGAGCCCATCATACCAGAGAGAACGACAGGTAAAACCCAGATTTTAGGGGCATCTCTCCCACGTTCTAGTCCCCAGTCTGTGCTGTGTGATATTAGGAAGATACCGGTTCTTGGATCCTGGGTCCCCTCATCTGGAAGGATGTGGTAACATTTGCTGTGTAAACACTGTGGAGCCATAGACACAGTTGTAGAAATCACCTGGCACACTGCCTGACCCACTCCTCTTTTCACTTCTCACCTGATGTGGGATTCCCCTCTGTATGCTGCAATTACCATTGGTGGATAAAGAAACTGCCTTGGGCTGCTGATAGGGCAGAACTTAGGTAGGCAGGGAAAACTAAACTGAATGCTGGTAGAACAGAGGCTGAGTCAGAGAGAAGCCATGTAGCCCTGCTGGAGACAGACACCAGAACTTTGCTGGTAAGTCACTGCCACGTGATGATATACAGATTAATGGAGATGGGTTTAATTAAGATGTAAGAGTTAGCCAATATGAAGCTAGAGCTAATGGGCTGGGCAGTGATTTAATTAATACAGTTTCTGAGTGATTATTTCTGGGCTGAGCTGCTGAGCAGCCCTGGGAACCAACAAGTGGGCTCCTTCAACACCCACCAACTCCGTTCCTACTCAGGCCCTGCAGAGCCCAGGGTCCTCTGAAGTCTGGAAGGGCAGGGCCAACCCAGACTCCATGAGCTCAGAGGAAAGGCCAGGCTGTTTACCTTATCCGCTTGGCGTGTGTGACCAGCGACACCTGATACTTCTGCACACATTCCTCCTGGAACACCTGCAGCAGCCTCTTGGCTAAGTGGCTAAAATTCACCCTGGAAGGACAGAGACCCCATGAGCTAAGGTGAGCAGCTGGAGCTACCTACACTCAGGGGTAGCCTTTCCACCACTGCCCATCCCAAATGCCAGCCCCTCAGCCCACATCAGGGGCACCTCTCGGGAAGAAAGATAGCAATACACTCAGACTGTAAAGCCCAGAGGCCAGTAAAGCTACATGCTCCAAAAAGGAGGCAAGGGAGGCTGATACGATGGCAAATGAATGCATACACTCTCAACTTGATCCCTGGGGGAAGGAAAGATGTCCAGCCACAGAAAGCTTATGAGTGAGTGTGCATGTGTGTGTGTGTGTATGCGCGCGCATGCATGAGTGTGTGTGTTCATGCACGCGTGCTAGCGTATGCATGTGTGCAATGTGCACAGGAGTTAGAGGTGGTATAACTCCGCAGGGAAATTCCCCAAACAGCCCTCAGAGCAGGGAGGCCTGGTGAACGGTGTGGGTGTCCAGGAAACTGTACTGAAGAGAAGCCAGGCAGGCCCAGGCCAAGCTAAGAGTAGGGAGGAGGAAGAGGTCGGCCAGTGAGAATAGTTCCAGAGAAAATCCCACAAACTTGTTCATGACGGGGGAAAAAAGCCCTTACATCAAGTCTGACTGTGAGAAGCCCCTGGCTCAGCTGCTCCGTGTCCCACCCCTGACCCTATTTAACCTGACTTGGATCGTTATTCCCTTTGCCCCACCACGGCCAAGGGCTTCAGTTTATCCCACCTGGGAAGAAGACTCACCCTACCCCATGACCTCCGCCCTCCTGCCCACCGGCCTGCCAGGGAGCAGGCCACTCACTTATCCAGCTTGTGGATCTGCTCCTCGTTGTAGCCGAGTCCTGTGGGAAACAGACAGGGATGATGTCACCACTCAACTCGTCAGCAAAGCCTGTTAAAAGGATGAGGACAGCCTAGGGTGGGGGCTGTTTTATGGGATCTCAGGCCTAGGGGATCCAGGAGGGGATGAGGAAACAGAACATCAAGTAACTATGACAACGCTATTATGGTGACCAAATGTCTATGATTTAGGGACAAAGGAGCTGAGGAGAAATGCTTTGAGGTTCCAGAGGGAGGCGGGGTGTGTGTATGCACACGGGGAGTTGGGAAATGCTGCAGGTGGATGCTGGGTAAAACGGTCTTCACGGGATGCAGCCATGGCCCTGCAGCCATTACCCTCTCCGGCTGGACTCCATCCCTGGAGTTACTCACAGGTGGGCCACCACCTTCTAATTCGCTGGTTCTGCCCAGCAACTCTTTTCAGAAGAAACAACTTTGGGTAGAAGCGTCCTTACCTAGACCCAGGCTACCACCCAAAGACAGGAAAACTCATGCACTGTGGCAAGACTGCCCCCTGCTGGTCTTTGAGGGGGGATCTCCAGAGCAGTGGTAACCCCAAGATGCTGGTTTGCCCTTCTACATTCCCATCCCATCACCCCAGTAGGGGGATCCCCTTCCTGGGTCTGCACACCCAAAGGCCAGGAGACTTGAGTACATCCCAGCCTTTACTCCTAGCGGGCAGCTGTGTACAGGGGATTGGCTTTGGAGGCTAGTTGTGTGTCCATTGTGTGCAGATCACAGGGGAGTGCCCTGAAGAGTGAGTGTCAGGCAACCTTCCAGAATGGCAGCGTGCAGCACTCCAGGTGCCGGTAGCTGTTCCTGGTTTTAATAAAGTACTCTGGAAGAGCAATGGGTACGGAACTCCCGAGGCTCTACAGTGGGGTGTTAAAGGAAGCTGGACATAGAACAATCCAGCCAGTTAGCCTTCTGTACCTCAGTTTCCCAAACTATAAAACAAGGAAAGCTGAGATGCACAGAGGATTGTTGTTTGTTTGCTTGCTTGTTTTTGAGACAGGGTCTCTCTACACACCCCTGGCTGTCCTCGAACTCACTACTTACACCAGGCTGGTCTGGAATTCACAGAGATCTACTCATCCTATCGAGTGCTGAGGTCGAAGGTGTGCACCACCACACTAAGCAATGCCCAGTGTTTTCATGAGCACCAAATAACTCAGAGATGGATGGAGCCCTTAGGCTGGTGCCTAGCATCAAGGCAGCGCTTTAAAGCTTTTGTGGCAGGGTGATGGGGTTCCAGACATGGAGGTAGACCAACCTTCCTGGCTCTCCTGAAACCACAGCAGTAGCCAGCTGGGCACAAGACCTTGACTGAGCCCCCAGGGACAGGCAGGCTTGCCCTCCCCACCCTCTCTGAGGCCAGACTCCAAAGGAAGGTGGAGGCCCCAAAGGAGAAAGGCCATGCTCCATAGATCCCCAAGTCCTCTCCTCACTGGTGACCATCGGACACAGGTGGCTCTGGAGCACCTGACATGTGGCCATGGTGACTAAAGACCTGGATTTTTTTGTTTTTGTTTTTCGAGACAGGGTTTCTCTGTAGCTTCGGAGCCAGTTCTGGAACTCTCTCTGTAGACTAGGCTGGCCTTGAACTCACAGACATCCACTCCTCTCTGCCTCCCGAATGCTGGGCTTAAAGGCGAGCACCACCACCTCCTGGCTCTGAATTTTTAATTGAATGCGCTCAATTAATGTAAGATTTAAAACTGAAGCAGGATGAAATGCTTTTTTTTCCCTCTAAGTACGGCTTTATAATTTTGTTAAGACTCATCACGTTTACTGAACCCTTATCTTCCAGACAGAGATAGAAAATATAAAATGCACACGGGACTTTGAAAACGAAGCATGGGAAGGAGAGCAGAATATCTCTCTAGTGGTTTGGTTCATATTGAGTTTGTGCTGAAATGACTAGGATATATTGAATTGAATAAAATATATTAAATTAACTTTACCTGTTTTTTTCTTTTTAATTTGCTTGTGAGAAAACTTTATTGGCACATATGGCTAGACGGCATGTTTCCCTATCAGTGATTTATGAATTACCCAGGGGCTCCAAAAGCATCAGGCAACGAGGTAGACACGGAAACGTTTAGAGCATGGGGTGGGGACAGAGGGTGAGTTCTGGCATCTTAGCTCCCTGCTAACTGGGGCTTTTTATTCCCAGGCTCCCCAACTCCATCCCCATACCTCCCCAGGTTCAAGCCTCACCCTGTCCACTCCACCCTCACCCAACTTACACAAGCAGGTTTCCATTCCTAGGCATGTGAAGCGTTGCCCTTGCCCAGAAGGTCTCTGTGGGCATTTATAAAGCTAGTGTAAGAAATCTCCCGGTTCAGGAACTCTAATGCAAATTTTTCAGATGCCCCATTCTCAGACAAGCTGGTCTTTTGGTCCAAGGACACAGGGTCGGGGCTAGGAGATGGTTCAGTGAGCAAAGTTCTACCTCACAGTGTGGAAACAGGAGTTCAAGTTCTCAGCACCCACGGAAGTGCTGGGCAGGTGTGTTGGCCACCTGTGACTGCAGTGCTAAGCAGGGAGAGACAGGCGACCCCCAGAGCAAGCTGGTTAGTCAAACTGGTGACCTCTGGCTTCAAGTATGAGACTCTGCCTCAAAACATAAAGTGTAGAGCAATCGAAAAAGCCTAGCATCAATCTCTGGCCTCCACGGTAGGTAAACACACATATATTCGTGCACACACAAGACACATGCGTACATAAGAT